ATATTTAGGCTGTGCTTGTCTCGACCCTACATTTAATTTGTTCAACATCTTGTTAAGTTGCATCACTCAGCTCACTTCATCATACCTACCGTACTTAGGGGCTGCTTTGTTTTATTCCACACAGTGACTTCTTTGTCTAAAAGACTGTATGCCTTAAGTGCAGCCCTTAGTTGTTTGCAAGGAAGGACATTATAGGGGCCAGATATTTATTTCAAACGCCTCAAATTAAGGCGGTTGCTAAAGTGGCTGGCGTTGAAACAATATTACTTTGCAAAGTGTTCGGAACCCAGGTGTAATCGGTGGCATTTGGTTAATGAGTTTGTAATCCTTTGTTTACGTAACTACCTGATGTTTGGCGGTCACTTTAGAATTTGTCTGGCCTCTGTACACGTGGGCGACCTTCGGGCCACGCTCAGGCCCATTTACTCTGATGTCTTCGGAATATATTTATTCAACCTCATTTATGACTTCTTCACCCTATGGAAAGCCTCGGGACGCTACATGGTTTGCTCTACTTGTGCTAAAAGCACCTGTATTCAATGTTTAAAAAGCCTATTTTCTCCTTCGATAAAGGTACGCGCACATGACACGCACGCGTTAGGTCTTATTTCGCCTTTAGTAACGGCTCAGTCGCTATATGGCACTGTAATATATACTAGTTTTTTAAGTGGCTTTTATAGGTGAGGAGCGGGAACCAATTGGGAATGCGAAGCACGTGCATGAAGTCGGCGAAGAGCCTTTCTCCAATTAATATCTTCTACTCACCTCATCTGTATCCCATTCTCTATCCGTCTTGATAACAATGCCTAATAAATCGTCTGCAACCAATTGCCTCTTGAAGAGGCAGCTCTTCCAGGTACTGCTAAAAAATACAATGGACATACCATAGAAGTGGACCTAATACGCACTGTTAAGTGAGAAGGGAAATATAAAATTATTACAAAGCAGCCGTAATTAAAGTGCCCCAACACCAACAAATTTTTTGAGGCTGCATAAGTCTAGTCAGGCTAATGCGTTAATGTAAAACTTCAAAAAATCCTTAATAAATAACATAAACCCAGTTGGAAGAAAAATTTCCCTTCTTAATCAAAAATGTTCACTTGGGGTCCTCATGACATTAGCGTATATTATTAAAAACATTAAAATCTGATTCGGCAATTTTTAGGACAGCCTATTTTGTAGTGCATTAGTATCTTGAAGTCTCCATGAGCTGATCGTTTTGATTCAATTAATGTGATAGTTTTTGTAGACTAACGCTTAGGCGCGCCAAACAATCGGAGTGGTCTGTGTCGTTTTTATCTTGCGTGTTGGGCGCGAGGTTGTAATTTGGCTGGATGGTTTGTGGGTATTTTAGTATCATTTAGTGTGTAACTGGTTTCACATCGCATCCCAAATAATCGTTTGTATTTCATGCGTGTTAAGGGAAGATAACACTGTATTATGTCTCCAGGTTTTCTGCTGTAGTTTCTCAGTTGTCGCTGTTTGAGATTTGGAAACTATTCTCCTTCCTTCGCAGCCGAAATGAAAACTCGGGACGTCTCGAGTGGCGAGGTGTCTTCCCTCAGCAGCGATGACGAGGAGCTGTCTGCGAAAGTGATGCGTATGGGCGATGCACTTTTTGGCCAATCTAACACTTCCTAGGTCAGAGTTCACCATCCCCGGTTAGACCGAGTAAAGGAGCTAGAAATCGCATTTGGCAATCTGTTGTGCTTGAAAATACTCTTGAAAAGGCCTTTAAGAGTACGGCTCTCGAGTTAGTAAGAACCACACTTTCTTTCTGCTTACCGAACTACCTCTATAGAGTGAGCCGGCAATTATCGATCGCGGTGCTGAGAGCTATTGTTTTGAGGAAAGCGAGCTAGCTGTGGGGTCGATTGCTTCAATGGATCGACATCTTCCTTCCGATCGTAAGCGTCGTCTCAGTGAGCGACTAGCACCCCGATCGTATGATAAAACCATACCTCGCGTCCACTACGGTGTCGACTTCGACAGTCCTCCTGATGAGGTTATTTTAGCTATTGCGAGATTTCTGCAAGAACGTCGTGAGGATTTGATCAGTAAGTCGGTGTTCGTAGTCTTATCGGCATCCATACGTTTTTAGTTTGGTTGTTGTTCCTTACCATTACAGGTTAGTGTTTTACATGACTTATAACTAGGTCGTTTTAATTGAAGCTTCCGATGGAATTACCATCGTCCTTCGCTTAAACCTTGTCGATGTTTGGATGCCGTTCCCCCCTTTGAGCCTTGTGAACAAGCGTCCTCTTTTTATTTTTTTGCTTTAGAACAAATTGTTGAAAACATTGGTGTGAGACGTGCTCTGGAATTCTGCTACCTTACCGAAGATATTGAAAAGTATGGAGGTCTGTGTACTAGGGTACGCCTCCTATAAATTTTAGCTGACTTCTTCAATCTATTTGTGACTGTGGTGTCGCCGTTGCCGCGTTACTCTTCCAGATCAAAGCCTTTCAAATTTTCGCCTTTACAAATCTAGTCTCATTTCTCTTAAATACTCCCGACTTGGGTACTGTCCTGATTATATGTAGTAGTCCTTACTCTTCATCCCCAATTGTAGGATGGAACACGGCGTCGAACTCGCGGTGGTGTTTTCTTCTTCCTTATTCGATGCTCCGATCAGGTTTCTAAAGATGAAAAAAAGTTAATCTTCACTGAACTGCCAGACGGAAAGCTGTCTAGAAAACGGTAACGTTTTGGCCTTTCTTACTTTTTTTTCGCCTTTATGAAGTAGGTTTGAATTTTTTGACTGCTGACCAAGCTTCCCGAAGCTGAATCAACAGTCACAAACCCACGTTTTTTTGCTTTGGGGTGAGGATTGTTAAGATTTCTAACTTCATTAGACCAGAATTGTTGTATCTCTAGTTTATTTCGTTTTTCTAAAATGGCCTAATCTGCGCAACACAGCTTAGAACCATCAGTTCTTCAAAGCTGGTAGAATTTGGGTCGGTGGGCTGTTACCTATGTAGGCTGCTTTATTCTACTCATTTGGATCTGTAGTTGCAAAAAAACTCGTACTTAGGGTTGTATATTCAATTGCATTTTATGCCTATCCTGTTCTGGTCATTTCAGTGCTCGAAAAGCTCGACGACGACGACGACGAGCGGCTCCCATGCAGGAGCAGAAGTGCTCCTCAAACTGTGAGGCTAATGTTGACTTTAAAGACCTGCCTTCACCTAATGTATACATTGAGTAGCAAGTGGTTATGTACCACGTATTGTTCCATGCTGTCCCTACTTGGCTTGGTGTGCAAAGCTTCATCCTTGCTCTAGAGACCGTTCTTTTTATAGAATTCCGTGGTGGATGTTGTTTGGTCCATTCAAAATGGCCTTGAATTTTTATATTATGTTTGTTCCACATACACAGAGAGTGTGTTCTGTGGCTTGCATCTTTTTTACCCCGTAGGCATGTCGTAGTCCGTTTGGCAGGTGTAAACAGGTAGGCCTGTATGATGCTTTTGAGAACGGATATCTTATCAGCGTCCAGCTGATTTGTCGATACTTTGGATTCGCTTCTATTCTGACGGGCACATGTCTGAAGGTACTTTACATTTTTCTACTTAGATCTGTTCTGTGCGGAGCAGTCAATGGGGAATATCTAGTGAATAAATGTTGCAATAAAAGGATGTCTATTTTCTTCCTGTTGTTGATGCGTACGTGACTCCAGTTCTTTATGAGCGCTTCGGCCTTTGTACTCACGGGTGGGGAAGGAGGGAATGCTGTTGGTAGTGTGAATTAGAAGAATATTAGATCAAGGGCGATCGGTCAAGCAATATGCACTGGTAGTGTAAAGGGTATGGATACGTGGGTCCGACCTCAGATGCTGTCCAATGGTTTCAGGGCTAGTCTGCAGGCATTTTATTCCATTCATGGTTGGCTCTTGGCTTCCTTTACAGCTCGTCATATTGGGATCGACATGGCGCTGAGTAGATTCGACAGCAATAAACTTGTATGGCAAATTTAGGCATTGAAGAGAGTAGTCTGATCATTTGATGGAAGCTGATTTTTGTAATCTCTGTAAAATAACAGGTGAGAAGCTTCCTTGGCGTGGGTGCTGTTGCTATCTGCTGGAATGACATCTAAACTTTCGTGGCGACTTTGGTGACTTCCGCTTCCGCATAGCAGTGTAGCGTGTCGAGGCTTCCTACAAGATAGAAAAGGAGGTAACTTGGGATGAATGTATGTATTTTAGGGAGAGAAGAAAATTCAGTCTAAGCTTCGTTCGAAGGCCAGCTCACAAATGAAAGGCTCAGACGTACATCAAAGTAACCACCAGACATTAGGTTATCACACAAATAAAGTATTGCAACCACCACTACCTCTTCCAAAAATCACATGGACGGACTTAAAGCAGAAGTGGTCGCTACTGTAATACCTTGTCTATATGGCCTCGTGATGTGTAGCGATCACATGTGTTTTGGCCATGTGCGCGTGAAGTGGCCTTCGAGCCAAGCCAAGGCCATAGCCCTTCTCCCCTTCGAAAACATACAGTCATTTTGACATAATGCCTTCTATCTGGTAGGAAGCCTAGGTGAAATACATATCCTCATATGTTTAAGCTGGTTTTATAGGAAAGAGACGGTTAACTAATCCAAACACGAGTCTCGAACCCGCTAAGTAAGGCCGGATTGCCGTCTTTTCGATGCTCACATTCCTCTTATGAAGCCAGAAGTTTAGATGCTTGAGAGTAGACTGGGGATGTAGTATATACCAGTGTTCTAGTTAACATTATAGAGTAGAGGCAATCAAGCAATTCAGACACGAAATCGGTTAACGTAGAGCTCGAAGATAGATATGCGGAGTGGCGTCGGCTTAACGTCTCATCAATACCTCCCTTTTCCTTTTCTGTATAGGATGTTAAAGAGACCTTCCCCAACCATCCCTCTTACTAAGTCAGAGGTTCAGGGGTCTGAGGGTAGACGGGAAGGCTCTACATTCATGGTGTAATACTATGTTTATGGGACCAATTTGTTGATCCGCTTACTATTTCTTCTACTCCAGGAGAAGTCTCTGGCCACTACACGTGGCACTAAAACTTTTCATATTAATATACATTTGATACGTATATGGAATAATGCACATGTAATGCTTTGTTTATGTGACTATCTGACGTTTGGCGGTCACTTTAAAACTTGTCTAGGCCCAGTACACGTGGGCTGGCCTTCGGGTCACGTTCAGGTCCCCATTTCTCCTATTGTTTTCGGAATACATGTAATTAACCTCGCTGATGTCATCGACTACTATCTCGAGGTGATGGGCAAGATGGCCAATTCTAAGAAGGATGTGAAGTCGCCGAGGACAGGGTACATCAGTGACAATGACTCGAGAACGATAGCTCAGGTGGTTTGGCGTCTGGGCGCAGGTCGAGACTCTACACTGGTGGCAGCGGAAAGCGAATCCGACATCTTATTAACGACTTTTAGGTATAAGGTGCTTTTGAAAGCGACATGGTGTGTGGAAAAATGTGTTGCCCAACAGACACCACTGTCTTACTGACATTCTACGTTTGTCTTGCTAAACTTTGCCAATTAGCCGACTGATTTCCGGAAAAGAACAGTACGGACAAACCGACGAGAAATGGTTCGATCGGATGATGCACTGGTTCAATACATCCAGATACCTCAAAATCGGGTTCCCTCGGTTTCACGACATGAAGGTTATAATCCAACCAGCAGACGAGACTGCAAACGAATTCTGCTTCTT